ACTAAACTATATCAGTGTGGGCTTTGTCATTGGAATGTACAATAAAATATGTATCAAATATAGAAAATAATTTAAAATTCTGTGACTTATTTGAATTCATCTGAAGGTGTCATATATAAGTAATTATGGAATACACAGTATTATTAGCATATTACTGTAATAAAGGTTAGGATTAACATAAATCACACAATCTAAAATATTCACAATGGGTTATAAAATGTGGCAAAAAATTACTGATGTCATATTTTGCTTCCTTAGGAATCAGTTTCTACATAATAAAATGTGTGCTAATTACTAGGCATATTTATGGATCTGTTTTATTTTTCTGCTTACTATGTGACATTTAGAGGCAGTGCCTTGCATATCTTACTGATTTTTATAAATACAAAATCTAGTTACCAACACAAGCAATAAAAGCATTAAAAAACACATTCATAAAGTAGTACAAAGTTATTTCCTCCAGTTGGTCTAGTCTGCTAAGTTTATACAGTCAAACTAAGCAATCGCAAAATTATCTAGAAATACCAAACTTCACTGATGTGCTTTGCTTAAGTATCTTTTTGCATATTCTGCTTTAAGAACTAAATACAAATAATGGAAGTAATGAAAGACTAATAAACATCGAGGACAATTTAAATTTTAAAAAAATTATTAAAAAGACATTAAAACAAACAATTAAAACACCCATGTAGGCATGTAAATGTTGTAAATAAATCAACTAATTTATTTAAAAAGTCTGGAAAATAGTTGTTTAAATTAACAGGGGTAGAGAGAACTGAAAAATCCTAACTGACCGTTTAACCCATTAACGCTTTCTTTGAATATTCTCAAAGACAAATTCATTATAGGAAACTATCAAAACATTTAGAACCAAGCCTGACAAACAAAAATGAGAACCAACGCTTGGCCTTATTGAAAAAGATAAGCATTAAAAAAGTCATTTTAAGCAAATAATCCATTTGTGATTGAGAAGAATGTGGATTTCTCTAGTTGACAAATTTTCTATCTTCTATATATTTACTTGTTAACTGTGTTGCTCACATCTCCAGTACCTTTTAATTTCTGCTTTCTAAAAATTAAATTAAAGCCTATAAAATCTCCAATGATAACCGAAATTTAAATTTATCTTAAATTTTTTCACTTTTACTTTGAGGCTATGTTATTACATACAGAGTTCAGAATAAATATGTTTTCATTCTAAGTTACTCCTTTTATTGCTACACCATGATTTTCCTTGCTGTCCTTCCCCCTTAAAAAAAAAAGTAACAGTCTTGTATGGTAAAAGGTGAAAGAGCAAATAAACAAAATAAAATGACAATGAGAAATGAATTCCCTGTACCAAACACAAATATAAGATCTAAGTGAAAGGCTGCATGGTGGCTCATGCCTGTAATCTGAGCACTTTGGGAGACTGAGATGGAAGAATAGCTTAAGGTCAGGAGTTTGAGTCCAGCCTGGGCAACATAGTAAGACCCTGTCTCTACTCCTTCCTCCAAAAAAGATCTAAGTGAAGATAGGCAGAATAACTTAGAATTAGCATGACACCTCTCTTCCCAAGCAAGATCTACTGTACCCTTACAACAAAAAGTCAAACTGTAATTGGTGGATAGTTCACATACTAATTCTCTACCTCTCACAACTCCAAAAGCAATGTTTAAGAAAAGTACAACCTATTCCTAACATCAAACTCATCGTCACAAATAACATTTAATAAGCAACTTCATGAATATGATTCTGCATTGCTCTCAGTGTTAAAACAAACAGTATAGCTAAAGAGAGAGTAGTAGTTTATAAGAGAAACATTTAGATAGGCTACATTCTAAAAAATATTTCAATTCTAAATGAAGATGCTTCAACATCAGTTATTGTGTTCTTAGGTGGGAGGAATTGCCTCAGAAACATTACAATAGTAAAGAATTTTTCTGAAATTAAAGGCAGGTTTCAGGTAAGGTGTGGTGGCTCATGCCTGTAATCCCAGTACTTTGGAAAGCCAAGGTGGGAGGATTACTTGAGGCTGGAGGTTCAAGATCAGCCTGGGCAACACAGACAGACCTCATCTCTACAAAAATAAATAAGTAAATTAGCTGGGCGTGGTAGCGCACGTCTGTAATTCCGGCTACTCGGAAGGCTGAGGCGGAAGGATCGCCGGAGCCCAGGAGATCGAGGCTGCGGTGGCCTGGAGTGGCCACTGCACTCCAGTTTGGGCGACAGAGTGAGACTCAACTCAAAAATAAAAACTTAAAATAAAAAATTTTTTTTGTTGCTAGTGTACAAAAATGCAATTGGTTTTATATATTGATCTTGTATCTTTAACACTGCTACATAGTTCTTATAGTTTTATTGTGGATTTCTTGGGATTTCCTATGCATAGAATCAGATCATCTGCAATTAAAACAATTTATAAATGCCATTTTGTTTTACTGTATCAGCTAGAAGATAAAGTATAGTTTTAAACAGAAGTGGCAAAAGTGACTTCCTTATCATAAGAGGAAAGCATTCAGTCCTTCAGAGTTAAGTAATACTTAGAAGTAAATTTAACAAAATGTGTTTAAGACATGTACACTGAAAATTACAAACTATTAATGCTAAGGATAAAGATAGTTTAAAAAAGAACAAGATGAATTTAATATATGGATATAGATGTAAAAATACCATCAGTAATGTAGCAGTTTATCAAAAGAAGTCTACATTATGCCAAAATAAGCTTTAAAAAGAAAAAGAAATACAATATCAGAAAATATACAAGCATAATTCATTATGGCAACAAATTACACTATATAATTATATCAACTGATGCTAAAAGGTATTTGATAAAATACTGCCTTTGCTTCTAATAAGAAACAGTAAAATAAAAAAGTTTAAATTTAATGAAATATTTTTCAAAGGAAGACATCCTAAACAGCAAAACACTAAAGCCTGCTAAACTAAATGAAATGGACGAGGGAGGACACTTTCACCAGAATCATATATTACTGCCTTGAAGGTAGAGAATGCCATAAATCATTGAAAAAGAAGAAACACAACTATCACTTTTGGCTGATAACGCAAAAGTATAAACAGAGAACCCAAATAAGATAACTCAAAGATTCTACTAAAAAGTTACTAGATTTAATAAGAAAAATATATAAGGAGCTCAAACATAAGGCAAATATCAACAATTTTCATCTATGCTTAGTAAAATTACCTAAAAATGAAAATAAAGTAAAATTTCAAAAAAACCCCAAATTGTCAAATACACAGCAAAACAAATAGTTAGAAAGGTTGACAACCTAAGTGAAATAAACTATAAAATTTCACCAAAAGATGGAAACGATTCAAACAAATAAAAAGACACCCCCATGTAACTGTGTGGAAAAACATACTGTAACAATAATGCCAATGCTTCAAATTTGATAAATAAATAAAATAAGTCTGATGAGAATCCCAAAATAATTTTTCTAGAATTGGAAAAATATAAATCTTAAAGTTTACATGAAAAAATAAATGACAAAATTAACTAAGAAGTGTTTGAAGGTGTTTAGGAGTGGGGAAGCAGCCTACTATACTAGCTGAAGCAATTTTAAAGGAGGTTCCCATTTTTCAGAAAGGAGATCCGATGATGTTCATATGTGGCATTTGTACACATCAATTAAATGCTGACAATATTTTCTATTATAAATGATATCTACAGGTTAGTGTGTTTATAAAACAGAACATACACTAAAACTCAAACTAAGAGTATATATATATGCATTTCAATTGAATGTATGACAAAATATTTGTAAGAACTTTACACACAGCATCGTTCTTTCATAATCCTCATGACAGCCCCAAATAGTTCTATTTCTATTTTAAAGATAAAGAATTTGGAGAAAGTTAAACAACTGGTCCAAGGCCACATTTCTAATTGGTGAAAAAAATAAGAATTTAAATAAGGGAGTAGTAGGTCAAATGAAAACAAACAGAACTCAATCCTTTTTTTAAAAAAGAGATGTATGCTAATAAAAAGAGAATTCTACCCACATCTATATGTTAGTCTATAGCCTCCTCAAATTTAACTATGAAATTATATCTGTATCCCAGTGAAATAATGACTTGAAAAAAAAAAAGGAAAAGTATAGTGACAAGTTAAGGTTGAAATTATGCACTTCCATTTAAAAAGTTGCTATTGTCCCATGGTGCTAGTCAATCTTTTTTTGGGTAAAAATGCATTATTAATTCAAAAAATCAACAAAATTTCACCAGAAGTTAGGTTTTACTATTCTAGCAAATATTCAAGAAGGAAAAAAGATATAGAAGATAAAGGAATTAAGAGTACAGTGACAGACCAACTGATTTACCTTTCAAGGCATAATACTTTTGTGAATGAAAGAGGCACTGATACTGATTACGATGGTACAAGTGTAAACCAGGACTGCCCCAGGCAAGCCCAGACATATGGTCACTCTAGTTAAGAAAGATACTTTAGCAAATGATTCCTTGCTATGATAATACAGGCTAACATTTTTTGAATATCTACTACGTTAATATGTATACCATATACAAGACTTTATCTTATTCACTATCCTTAGATAGTATTTTGTGTATAGTAGGCACTGAGTAAATAAATGCTGAAGGAATTAATAGGTTTTCCCTTTTTTAGTTAAAAAAGAAAGAATTTCTGTATTTCTGTGTCTGTATCATATAGTTTAATTAAAGCTTAGTTCTTTAAACATCATTATTACCTTAAGTTTGTAAATATATAAAAGCATTAATTCATGCATGCAAATACTTTTCCTTTGTTTGCAAGAACAACAAAAAATTCACAAATTTATCTCCTTGTATTAAAGATAGGTGAGAGAACAGTGCAATTAAGGCACAGCACTAAATGAGTAATGAGGCATGCTGCATACTTCCAATTTAGAGTCTGATAATAACAACAAAATCTAAACCTACAAAGATAGTTACTCATTTTAAATGCTCTCCTATCCTCACCATAATACTCAATCAACATTAAAGACAAATTCGCTTTCACTTCTTACCTGCACAGCCGAAAGCTAAATGGTATCTGGAAGAGGGGCTGAATTTAACACAGCACACGTTAGCCTTTGCCTCAATGCTTGCCACTGAGTTGTCTAGGTTGGTGGACCACAGCTTCACTAAAGGCAAAGGACAATAAAAACAAAAAGAGAAAGAAACAATACATTAGAACATGCTTCTGTAGCTTGGAAAGTTTGCTCAGATCTTTTTGCTTATTGCTCCAGATCTTTTTGTGCCAGTCTAAAACATTTTGGTTTACTAGAACCAAAAATGTTAAAGCTGAATGACTGAGAGCTTAGGTTCAATATAAAAAAAATCAACATAGATAAATAATGAATTTATAAAATGGTCCCACAATTAAGACATAAAAGTCAGAAGCAAAAAAAAAAGCAATCTGGAGCTAGATGGTGTATTCTTTATAAGTGTGTCACATATATACTTTAAACAGTGTGTGTTTGTGAGTGCATACTCTGATATATAGCACACACATGAAAATGTATACAAACAACTTTAAAAGCATCTGAAAGCTGTTCTTATTTTATCTTTCAATTAAGAATTTTAAAATTTTATGTAGTAATTTAGTTACATAATTTAAGTATTTCTAAAGTAATATATTCTGAAATAATTTAGCTAAATTTCAAAACTGTGTTTATAAGTGTATATTTGGTGTTTAGTCTATTACAGAAGTATATATTGGAATTTATCATGATCAGGGAGAGGAAGGCTGACTAATCAGAACAGTCCTGATCTGAAAGCAGAAGAATAAAAAGTAAGCTGCTATTACACAAAAGTATCAAGGCAACTGTCTTCTTTTTTTCTTTGGAGACAGGGTCTCCTTCTGTCACCCACACTGGAGTGCAGTGGTGTGAGCATAGCTCACTGCAGTCTCCAACTCCGGAGCTCCAGCCATACTCCCGCCTCAACCTTCTGAGTAGCTGGCAGTTCAGGTATGTACCACCACACCGGGTTGATCTTTAAAAATTTTTAAAGGCTGATCTCAAATTCCTGGCCTCAAGTGACCCTCCTGTCTTGGCTCCCAAAGTGTTGAGATTATAGGTGTGAACCACCACACCCAGCCCATATCATTTTAAAACAACTGAAGTGTCTTACTAGACAACAGAAGACACATATAAAATACAACCAGCCATCCTGGTTGTATATTAGACCAAATAAATGAACACAAGCAACAATAACAACAAAATCTCCCTATCCATCTTTCAAATAGTCCCAATGTCCTATCCAGGACAATACCCAGATGGGGTCCATGTATTGGTGATTTAAAAAAATTTCTCCAAGTGAGTCTAACATGCATTTGAGATTGAAAGCCAATACTGGTGATGGATGCATTGTAAAGTCTTAGAATCCCTTTAGGAATACAGTAACCTGTAAATAGGAGTGAATAAAATAAATAAGAATGGTTCCAACAAATACCACTTCTATGAAATTGGATTTCATAAAAATAATTTATTTCAATAAGAAATCTGAGCAGAAATTAATCATTATAAGAAAATGCTGCTAATTTACAATCTGATGAATTACTAGCCTTCTCATGAAAACTAAAATATTCATTATTAAAATAAGAGAATAAAGTTGGGCATGGTGTCTCATGCCTGTAATACCAGCACTTTGAGAGGTGGAAGCAAGACGACTGCCTGAGCCCAGGGGTTCAAGTCCAGCCTGGTCAACTTGGCGAGACCCTGTATCTACAATAAATCAAAAAATTAGCAAGGTGTGGGGGCACACACCTGTAGTCCCAGGCCCTCAAAGGCTGAGGTGGACAGGTCACCTGAGCCAGCATGTTGAAGCTACACTCCAGCCTGTATAACAGTGAGATTTCAATTCAAAAAAATAAAATAAAAAATAAATTTAAAAAAAAAGAGAGTAAGATTTTTAAAATAGCAATATTTGATTTATATTATTTTCCAATAAAAATGATGTGTTATTTCAGTCAATATACAATCATTTGGTCAATCTAGATATACAATTCTAAGATAAGATGACTAGCTGGAATTAAAAGTCTGCATGCCAGACTTTTAAAGACTAGATTAAGTGGACTTTGATAGAATGTACTGTAACAGCCTAGCAAGCCAAAAATAATTCACAACAAATATGTATGGAGCACTTACTGTGCCTACAATCCAACTTATAATCACTAAGAACCTTTTCAAATAAGCACTATTTATCAGTGTTTTATGATAATTAAATATAAATAACCATAAAAACGAACCAGTAATAAAATGATAGTTAAATTAGAAGTGAGTCAGGTTTTTTCTAATTTCATAGTTTTCTCAATGAAGTAATCAGTAACATTATTTAAATAAGTCACAACATTAACCATCATGATTACAATTTTTAACATATCAGGTATTAGAATTCAATCTAACTGAGCTACAAAAGTAACTAAGGTTAAAAATACCGTGAAGATATACTGCACAGATACAGCATAGAAAAGGAAGTTGCATAAAGATTACAATATACTTTCAATCAGAGTATATTAAAAAGTGTTAATTGTGTTCCCCAAAAAGATATGTTTAAGTCCCAGATTCTTGTGAAGAACCCCAGGTTCTTGTGAATGTCACCTTATTTGGAAACAGCATATTTACAGATATAATCAGGTCAAGATGAGGTGAGACTAGATTAGGATGGGCCCCAAATCTACTGATGTCTCTATAAGATGTAGGAGATTTAGAAGCAAAGATACAGAGGGAAGAAGGTCCTGTGTGGAAAGAGGCAAGATTGGAGTGATATAGCTACAAGCCAAGGAATGCCAACATGGCAATCAACAACCAGAAGCTAGGAAGGAGGCAAGAAATAAATGAAACTTCAGTCTTCAGAGGAGCATGGATCTGCCAACACCTTGATTTCAGACTTCTGACTTCCAGTACTGTGAGACAGTAAATTTCTGTTGTCTTAAGCCAGTCAATTTGTGGTACACTTTGTTATGGTAGCCCTAGGATATGATGAAATAATGTTTAAACCAATTAAAATCTATTTAATATCCATACCACATGGTATTACAGATCAAAAAGTAAAATGTTACCAACTTTTGGAGGAAGTGTAGCAGAAATCAACAAATGTTGGAAGAAACTAAGTCAAATATAAATAGATGGTCTTCAAAGTAAGGAGAAGGTATATGTAAATCCATAAGGATACATAGGCAGTTACTTTCTCCTTTTAAAAACCATAGTGAGAATTTCATCTAACTTCAAAAATTAAAACCTCAGCATTTATTGATGAAAACTCCATTTGAGAGGAAAAAATAAATTTAAAAAAATCTTCAAAATGAAGAGTAAAAGCAATGAAATAAAACAAAACACACTGTACTTTACACTTCACACGTGGTCTCCTTTGGTTCTTAGTAAATAACCACGAGTGACGACAAGGTAAATCATATGGCAAAGTGGGAGTCTAAAAATAAAAACCAAACTTACTCTTTCTAGTTGGCTTCCAATTTGCATTGCTTAACACTAAGTGTTCTATACAACTTTTATTTCTTTAATGTTAATAGGAAGGGAAAAAATTCTTTTTTTAAAGTGCCACCTAATTTTTCAGTTCAATTTTAAAACACTGAATTTCAGAAAATCCAACTGTCACATACAATAGCTTATCATCTAATAATCCATAATATTTAAGTTAATCATTCCTTAAATACTTTTGTTCAAAATTACTTTTTACAAAAACACAGAACACATTACGTAGCTATAATATCAGAATCTGTTCCAATATGCAAGATTTATGTTTCTGAGTTTCTCAGACAGGGCTCACTGCATGTCTATTTGCACCAAAGCATCCTAAGAAATAATTCATTATAAAAAAAAAGGAAAAAAAACAGGCACAGGAGTTTGACACAGTAAAAAAGCCCAAGTCTTTAGTGAGGATATGCAACTAGAATTAAGTTTCATATGTAATACTTTTAGACACAGAGGTGAACTACTGTCTAGATTCTACAGAAAACAGAAAGCTATCCATGTGAGTAAAAAGGGATAGTGTTGCTTCACCAAAAGCTACCATAAAACTGTGGGACAATCGACAATATTTTATACCTCTATAAAAGTTATAAAAAATGTATACTCTGATAAAAATGATTCCCAAACATAAATAAGTTTTCTTTTAAATTTGGTCAAATAGAGACATGGGCTTTATATCACTACCTAGTTACTGCCACACAGCAAACTGTCCTAAAATTTAGCAACTTAAAAGTAACTACTTTGCATAGTTTCTGAGGTCAAGAATCTCAGAGCAGGTAAGCTTGATGATTTTGGCTCAGAATCTCAAAAGAATTCTAGACTATCAGACTTCCAAGCTTGCTCAACATGGCTATTGGTATAAGACTTCAGTTTCCCATCATATGAGCTCATGACAATGCAGATGGTTTTTCCCAAACCAAGTGACCGCAAAGAGAGACGTGATGAAAAATAGAGGGTACAGCGTCTTTTATAATCCAATTTTAGAAGAAATATGTCTTCACTATTGTAGTATTCTACTGGTCACACATATGAACCTTGGAGCAAGATGGATAAAGGAAAACTACATAAGCATGGACATACAATGAGACAGAGATCCCTGAGGGCCATTTTTGGATGCTGATCAACACAAGTCATTTAGATTCAGGAGATAATAATTAGTAAAGTTATAACTTTTAGGAAAGGTAAATGCCTCTAAAGTTATAAATTATAAGAATAACTGTTATCATAGCACTACTTATTAATCAGACTGTAGTTCCTTTTTTAGTCCACTAATAAAAAGGGAGGGTATTCAATTAGCACGAGTTTAACTTCAATTTTAAAAATTTACCAAGATTTCAAAGTTGTCATTTTTGCATTAATTTATGCAATTAAGAAATTTGGAGTAAATAAGAACCTGTCCTTTTGCTGTCATAAAGTCTCAATTCTTCAAACATGCATTCTAAGAAAAATACCATTAAAGGATATGCTTATTCTTATTGCAAGATTTATTTTTGCAAGTGATTCGTAGGCTACATACTTAAAAAGCAAAATCTATTTCTCCAAAAGAACCTATAAAATGACTCATAAAATTATTTTCTGATTAGCTTGCTACACATTGAAGGTTCTTTAACATGCAATTATGTGCATAAATATTTGGCAGTAAATTGTTTTAAAAGTATGCAGCACAAGTAGGAAAAAGACCATTTATATGAACTCAGCATTCATTTATGCAATTAAAAATAGTAGCTTCACTGTGGCAGAAGGATTGCCGGAACCCAGCAGGTCGAGGCTGCGGTGGCCGGGAGTATGCTACTGCACTCCAGTCTGGGTAACAGAGTGAGACTCCAACTCCAAAAAAAAAAAGTAAGTCTGGCTACTTGGAAGGCTGAGGCGGAAGGATCGCCGGAGCCCAGGAGGTTGAAGTTGCGGTGGCCGGAAGCGGCCACTGCACTCCAGTCTGGGCGACAGAGTGAGACTCCAACTCAAAAAAAAAAAAAAAGTAAAGAAAAGAAAAAAGTGACTTCCATTAAAAAGTGCTATTAAACATCTACTAAATACAAAAAACAACCATATTTGTATAAAATATATTAAAAGTGATTTAAAATGTCCCTATAAAATTATCACAAAGATCACCAAACAGGAGTGATAAATACATTTAAGTAACATTGAATAATACTTTTGACAAAGGCGTAAAAGCATTCGGGACTTTTACTGCCAGCCAAGAAGGTAAGACAATATTGAAAAAATAGAAAGCAACTAAGTGAGGAAACTGAAAAAGTAAACAAAACCAGTAATCTTTTGGAGAGATTTCTAAACCTAAAAAAAGTTTAAAAGGGTAAGAGTACAATTTTTTTCTCCCTTTCTTCTCTCATGGTAAGCCAAGGTCAACACTTCAGGAAGCAAAAACAAACCAGGGGTTTGGGAATAATTTTTAAATTTTCTTTGCTCCTTTTTCTTTCTCAGGTTTCTCCATGGGTGGGCTTCAGTCACAGAGCTGCAGCAGTGTAAAAGCTATTACTCCAATAAAACATTTTTGTGGCTATAAAAAGAACATCTATAGTATGAAAAGTATGAAAAAGGAGAATCCTCATTATATTTTTCTCACCTGTTTTCTTGTTGTGTTGCCCTGAAGGCAGTCCCTAGTCACAGCAGCAGGTTGGACACCAAAATCTCCTAGAAAAACCTGCACTTCCTTGACAAAGGATCAGTAAAAGGGGTCCCTGGGAAATGAGTAGTATAAGAGAAACCTGGAAAGGAAAGGACTGGAGGAGATCCCACAATTCTATATATTAGCTGGCATAAGTCTCGGAGTCACTGCTGAGCTGTGTTATGTGCAAGGGACACAAAGCAGTGTATAAAAAGGCTTTTGTGCACTGAACTCTATTTGAAAAACCACCCAAGTCCCAGACGAACCTCTGGCTGGCACATGTATTGAACAGACTCAAGGTAGCACGGTAAAGACTTTGAAAACGCAACTAATAATGAAACAGTCACCCAGAGAGGGCATGACATAAATTAGTCTAAATCAAAGCCAACTGATCACTTGTTAAGTAAAAGAAAAAAAATCAACATTTCTCAGAAAACTTAAACAGGACCCAGAGTCTTCCAGAACAATATTCAAAAACAGCTAAGAAACAACCTGAAAGATATTTAACATACAAACCCCAGGAAAATGTGAAGAATTTTCAAAGAAAAACACAGTCACAAAGGTTAATCCTAAGATCTAGATGTTGGATATTATGATTTTAGATGAAACAAATTTTAAAGCAACTATTGTAACTTGCTTCCTAGGGTAAAAATTGACACACTTAAAATTAATGGACAGGTGAAAATACTCAGAGAAGAGATACAGAAACTATTAAAAAACAAAAACGAACCAAATGAAAACTTTAGTAAAACAGAGATGACAAACGAAAGATTCGGTGAACTAGAAGACAGAACAATAGAAATAACCCAATCTGAAGAAGAGAAAAAAATACTGACAAGAAAAGAGAGTCTGAGTCCTGTAAGACAAAATGAAAAGGTCTAACACATCAATGTAACTGAGATCCCAGAGGAGAGGAAAAAGGGATTACTGGCTGGTAAGTATCTGACAGAGCAGTTTTTAGAAGAATATTGAGAGAAAAAGTGATATTTTACAATGATAAAATATCCAGTTTACCAAAAACACATAACAATCCTTAACATATTTATGCCCCTAACAATAGAGCTTCAAAATATATCAGAAACACATACACGTGTGCACATGTACACAAAACAGATAACTGAACAGAGAAATCAGACTTCAGTATATCTGTCTCATACTCCATAAAATAAGGAGACCAAAAGTTTAGCAAGAATACAGAAAATCAGAACCTCACCATCAAGAACTGTTATCTAACTGACATAGAACAATCTACCAACTAGCAGAATACAAAGTATTTTCAATGCATTTGGAATATTTATCAAGGTAGTTCATAACCTGGTCTATAAACTAATAACATATTTTAATGCCAGGCATAGTGGCTAACACCTGCAATCCCAGCACTTTGGGAAGCTGAGGTGAGAGGATTGCTTGAGCCCAGGAGTTTGAGACCAGCCTAGGCAACATAGTGAGACCACATCTCTACCAAAAATCAAAAGATTAGTTGGGTGTAGTGGCATGTGCCTATCATCCCAGGTACTCTCAAGGATAAAGTGGAAGGATCATCTGAGCCCAGAAGATTGAGACTGCAGTACACCATGATTACATCCCTGCACTCCAGCCTCGGTGGTAGAGTGAGACCCTAACTCTAATTAATAAATAAATAAATATCATACAAAATATGCTCTTTAACTATGATAGGATTAAGCAACAAAGCAACAAAAGAATGATTTCTATAACTTTTTGGTCTAGTCAGGAAATTTTTAAATACATAACTAATCCACAGTTAAGCAAGAAAATCACAAGATAAATTAGATAGAATTTTAAACTAAATGGAAAAGTAAATATTAATACACAAGCATTTGTGGAATCAGGTAAACCACTTTTTGTGCTTAACGGAAAACGTATAAAAATGTTAAGATTAAAAAAGACAAAAGGTCTCAAATCAATGACATAAACCTCAACACATGCTATAACATGAATGAACCTTGAAGACATTATGTTAAGTGAAATAAGCCAGTCACTGAAGGATAAATAACATATGATCCCATTTAATGAGGTACTTAAGAGTATTGAAACTCAAAGAGACAAAAAGTTGAAAGAAGGGTACCAAAACTGGAGGAAGGGGGAAAAGAAATGATGTTGTTTAAGGAAATTTCAGTTCTGCGGATACACAGTGGTGATAGTTTCACAACAATGTATTTAATGCTACTTAACAAGAAGTACACTTAAAAAGGGAGAAAATGGTCAATTATGTATATTTTAATGCAATTTAAAATGAATTAAAAAATCCCTCCTCCTTGAATTGCTTAGATTGGCTTCTACTTCAAGATACAAGACTCATCAGCTACTACTTCTGAACAAATGTTATACTTCAGAATAAAACACAAGAGTATTTTACTAGTATTTTACTCTGATATGGATGTTTGCATTCAAATATAAAAATATCTATTGTCACACAGTGATTTAGAAATTCAAAAATAAATTCTTTAGACAAGGAAGGAAAAAGTTATTCCAATCTATATATACTATGCATGAACAATTTGCTACTGTATGACACAAAACTTTTTAGGGGCAGCCCAGTCATGTTTGTTTCCCTTCTTACAGAATAGGTCATGCTCTGCTATTTCCTTTCTTTTATGTATAAAAGAAGGCAAAGGGACATGCAAGATGTGAAGTAAAGCTTCAATGCTAGAGTTATCCTTGTCTATATAACCATTAGTCTGAAAGTTACATGCAGAAAAGAAGGAAAGGGCAAAGAAATTAAGGCTACTGAATCTAAAATAAAATGAATCTTTAACAGGGATTTATAAATCCAATGTTAAGAAGAACCAGACCAAAACAGGGTAGTAAGGATAAACAGAGAATAATGAATTGTAAAAATGGATATACAAGAGACAAGAAAGGTCAATTTGGCAAAAAGAGATGTAGAATTTTGCCTTGAAGTATAAAATTCATTAAGAAATTTTAGAATACACTAGAAATTTCATATAACACAATGTAGTATACAGAGATTTCTGAGTATTCCAGAAAATAAGTCCACTTGATGGTATATCCAAAGGACTTGGTTATAAGATAGCAGCAAGTAGCATGTATACACTTTAGTATAAATTTTAGCATACACTAGAAATTTCATATAATAAAATGTAACATAAAGAGATTTCCAAATATTCCAGAAAAGAGGCCCACTTGATGGTATATCCAAAGGACTTGGTGGTAAGATAGCTCCATGCGGCATGAATCCAGAAAATATCATTAAAATGAGGATGCAGTATATTCATTTTTCTTTAACTCAAAAAGAGAAACTAAGATTTAAAAAAAATAATCAGTAATTACAAAGGACTGCCATGAGTTTCAATAAATGTTTGTATTTTCTGCTAATAAAAGGAATTAAGGTGAGGAGTGAGAGATGGGTATCAAAGGAAGAGATTCAAATAGTACCTTTTGCATCATCAGAACCTGAAGCCAAGAGTTTAGGATCCATCAAATTAAAGTCAACACTCCAACACCTCTTCTCATGTTCCTGAAAGTAGGAGGAAGACAAAACAGACTAAGACAAATAGAGATCTTAAAATAAATAAAGCAAACAAAACAAAAAAAATCGGATATTAATTTACTGATATGAGGTGTAGAGAAAGAAAAGGCTAGGAAAACAAATGAAAAGCAAACCAAGGTGGTGATGCAAAGTAATTCCAAAACTTTTTATATATACATTTACAAGAATTATTGCTTTTGGACATTCATTTGATGCATTCTACAAACACAAAAATATGAAGAAATGCTTTGGAAAAGCATTTGGTATTACACAGGTATAAAAAAAATACTAAATAGGCTCAAGCCTATAATCCCAGCACTTTGGGAGGGTGGTGAGAGGACTGCTTAAGCCCAGGGGTTTGATACCAGCTTGGGCAACTTTGTAAGACCTCATCTCTACAATAAACTTAAAAAAAAAGATTAGCTGAATGTGGCAGCACACGCCTGTAGTTCCAGTTACTTTGAAGGCTAAGGTGGAAGGCTCTCCTGAGCCCAGCAATGCTGAGGCTGCAGTAGCCCTAACTGTGCCACTGTACTCCAGCCTGGGTGACAGAGTGAGAGTCTGACTAAAACAAACAAACAAACAAACAAACAACCCCCCCCCACCAAAACCAAAAACTAAATAGTGACTTCAAATATGGAATTATAAAGTACATGAAGTTCTAAAATTATTTTAAAAATAAAAATGTGATTCAAAGAACATATAGCTAGCTAGTATTACTTACCTGGTAGACCTTTGACCTCTGTCCTGTAAATCCATCCCATAGGATAACAGTACCTTCATAATCACTGCTAGCTAACAGATTCTTATGGTAACTACTCCAACTGATACAGCTGAAAAGAAGAAATAGTTAAAACTTACTTTCCATAAAAATAAATAAGAATGAGATATAAGTAATTTTAATGCATTCAGAAAGATTTACACTCCTTAAAATGGTCTTCATGAGTTCATAATCATCATTCTGCCCACAATAAATCCAAAAGAAAAATATCAGTAATTTCTAAATTTTAAAAATTGACACCATGAAGTAATGACCCTTACCACCTTTTATTCTGATCACCATAGAGCTGCTGCTGGCCATCTTTGATACAGAGAAAAGCATGTCTAACAGTAAAGACATACAGGCTCGGGGGCTTAAAGCATACCATAGCAGAATGATAGACCTGATGAGACTGTGTAAGCCTCTGGATCCATTTGTGCCAAATCATATAAGCCAAAAAAAACTATTTTGAATTGGGTTTCTGTACTTACATCCCAAAAGTCTTGACTAATTTATAATTTAGACTTTTGACCAAAATTCCAATTAAAATAATCTGAAAGTTAGAATCAAACTTTCAACATTTATGGTTTCAGCTATTTCCAAGTGTTTCAAAAGTTTACAACATCTAAAAATGTATGTTTTTGCTGAGATACATATGTGAATCATACATAAAGGGTATGGGCATTCAGGAAGAAGTTACTTAGAAAGAAGATGATGTAGACGAATTCCAAGCATGTGCACACAAGTCTTTTGCTCTCTACTAGTTGCATTCACGCTAAATTTCAGAGACTAGGGGAGTTCATTTGCATTGTAAATATACTTAACTATAATTTCTGGTAGAAATTATATGGAACAGTTGAGAGTCACATTGTAGATTTAGACAGACTTAGGCTCAAATTCCAGATCTGCCACTTACTAACTATGGCTCTGGCTAATAAATCTGTGTTAGGCATGCTTAGGTATCGATCCTTTACGTCTCACGCCCATAGCTTTCACCTTGAACAGTTTCTATCATTTACTCCAATGCACCATAAAGTATTGCATATTTTTACATGTGTCATTACAGAACAGGTAGTAGCACATTTAAACCTTCTAATCCATATTTTCATCACAGTAATATTTATTATGGGTACTTGCTATGGGCCAAATATTGTGTTGAGTACATGATGGGGGCATTTTTAAAAGTATAATCCTATGAAACAGGCATTACTATTATGGCCTCCATTTTTTAAATAAATAGCATGAAATGTTTAAGAGCACAGACTCTACAACCAAACTACCTCAGTCTGAATCCTGGCTCCTCCACATACCAGCTGTGTAATTGTAATCTTAGGCAAATTAATCAACTTTCTGTGCTCAGCTTCCTTGTGTATAAAATGGAGCAATTATATTAACTATCTCATAGTTCTGCTAAAGACAAAGCGCTTAGGACAATGTCTGAAATATAAGAATTAAATAAAGTTATGTCTTATGCATGTTGTGTTCTCTCCACTTAGGACATAAACTATAACAGATTCTCAATGACAAATGCATTGATGAACAGGCAGGCTCACAAAAGATCAGAGTCCAGTATTTTTATGAATAAAATAGGAAAGAAAAGGAAAGCTATGACACATAAATTATATGAAGACTAAAATGTTTGCTATATTATTAACATTGTTAAAATGCACATATATATATACACATATTATATATGTCATTAATCAAGATAAGAAAGGTACAAGAATCACTGTTTTGAAAATGTTCAAAGTTCTAAATAAAGTTATTATTTTTGATTTCCTTATAGCATTTCCTTTTAAGCCAATGCTCATGAGAACAGTTTGGGAAGATTGTTTAGGAAACAAGTAATTCTAGAATTCCTCTGAGATTTTTTTTAGGGGGCAGGTCAGAAGTAGGATCCAGTTTCTACATTTTTAACAGCATTTTAGGCTTGAAGAGCATTCATTATAAATTATAATCTCTAAAGTGTAAACTGAAATACTATTTCTTAAGTGAAAAGCAGAATGTTCCTATAAAAAGAATTATTAAAACTAGCAACAATGATAATATTTAGAGGTATGTACATGCTAGGGGAAAAATTCCAAATCTTTTAACACTCCACTCCATGGAGTCACCAACAGCTATCTCCAAAAATGATTCCATTTGATTAAGTGAAAGAAAAAAGCAACTCCATGTGGCAACTAGAAAAACAAGAAATAAACCATCAGAGGAGAAAAGCAATCAATGTCTAATATATCCTCCGTATACACAGTACAATTATAGCATTTACCATGAATGAGTAAAGGTACAACTGTTATCTACCAATTGTTACACACACAGTGTATCATGCCAAGAAAGTAACAAATACCTGATTTTGGAATTGCAAGTCATTTCATTCTCAGGGTAATGAATATCCACTGCATCCTGGATGACTGTGCCATATTCATAGACTTTAATCTTCTTTGTAACCCCAGCAATTGCAAAATAGTCACAATCCCGGTCAAATTCAATACTAAGGGAAAAAATATATATGTGTTTCATCAGTAAGACTATTTACCTATCATGACATTTACAGTGACAACATTTCAGAATCTGGTATTGTCTGTTTCTAAAGCAACTCTGTCTACAAGCATAAAAGAACTACTTGAATTGTCTTCAAGTTATATTATGTGCAAAGTCCAAAGTAAGTCATCAAAATATATCAAATTACAAGTGGTAGAGAATTGTATATATGTAGTATTGTGTATAAGTATACGTTTGTTCCTAGACACCCGGAATGTTTTTCAGTTCGGTTTTTGTAACCATACTACAATGTAGTAAAGAAAGATTTAATGGTTTGAATAGTTTCATATACTAAAACTATGTCAAAAGAAAATTTTCAGTTAACTTTTTCCTAAATTCTAGTTATTTCCCTTCTTACTATTTTATGGAGATGATAGAATTTCACAGAATTTAATGTTATTTTAATAAACAGAATTAGTATATAAGCTGAATTACTGAAAATTTAGATGATAACAAGGGGACAGAATACACATGAAAAAGAAATCATGAAATCATCATTACTTTTCCCCAAATCCATTCCTAATCCCCCAAACAGATATCTCTCTGAATTATAAATCCCCAATACACATACCTTATATCACAAACAAGGTAAAAAAGAAAAATTAAAAATCTCTCTAGGGAATGCACTCTTCTCTTGCTCACCTTCTTATACAAGTTCTAAAATAAGCTACTTCAAAGCAAAGAACAAGACTGTATTCACTTTTATATAACTTAACTGGAGCCTAAACAAAGTTGCTATATAATCTGCTAAAAATCTAATTGGCCTAACAGAAGTAAAAGTTGAAATGAATTATCAGATACATTATTTCTCAACATGATTTAAACATCCTTTCCAGAGGCTTAGTTGATCTACAATTAATTACATAATAATAGCTAACATTCAATGAAAATTTATTAGCTACTAAACACTCTGCATGTATTAACTCACTTAATTCTCAGAACAACCCTATGAGGAAGGTATTATTATTATCATCATCATCCACATTTTACAGAGGAGAACACTGAAAGTTGGAGGTGAAATAATTTGCCCAAAGTTAGCCAGTTTCTAAGTAGCCGAGATGGTATTAAAAAACCTGGTAGTTAGCCGGGCTCAGTGGCTCAGCCTGTAATCCCGTGCCTTTGGGAGGCTGAGGTGAGTGGATTGCCTGAGCCCGCGGGTTCGAGACCCGCCTGGGCAGCGAGACCTCATCTCTACAATAAATTAAAAAATCAGCCGGGCATGGTAGCGCATGCCTGTAATTCTGACTATTTGGAAGGCTGAGGGGGAAGGATGGCCGGAGCCCAGCAAGTCGAGGCTGCGGTGGCCGGGAGTGGCTACTGCACTCCAGTCTGGGTGACAGAGTCAGACTCCAACTCAAAAATAAAACAACAAAAAAACCCCTGGCAGTTTGATTTTAGTATTGATGCTAATAATTACTATGCTAGCTCACAAATAAAAGCTCACAAGTAAAACTCAAAGTATGAAGGCTACAGGTTTAAAATCTAACATAACTATGTGTGAAACGTTTTCTGTATGTTCTCCCCAAATATGCTAGTATTCTGCATTTACTAGCATGTATTTAATGCATAAAAATACAAACTCATACATGATATACTTTTCTCAATGGATTTCCTGTGATAGCTTTTCACAGAATGGTTAATGATTAGCTAATAATTTGGAAAGAAGCTTGCTGAGCTGATGATGATGGGTAAGAAAAACATATTAAGAATATTTCCCTTAAAAACACATTGAGATGCTTACTTTTCCTTATAGCTTTAACCCCCCCCCCACATTTTGTAATTTTAAAAGAATTTCAATCAGTTAAGTGTCACTGACTATAGCACCTTCCAACAAATGCTCCTTCCGATAAAATATGACAATATAGCAATGCAATAGATCTATCTGTACAACCTCAACTGAACTGCTGCCTTAGTTACTACTTGCTGCCATGTGGATTCTAATGCAGTATAACTATAAGGATGGCAATTATTCATCTATTCCAACTCAATTTATGCCCACAGTCTCATTTCACTGAAGGAGAAATAGTACTGTATCTGGTAAAGGACAGAGTTAGAACTGAAATCCTGTCTTTCACGTAGGAGGTTCTGGAATGGCTTCAAGTAATCACTTGAACCAGTTATATTATCCCTAAATACTTTTCCTCCATCTACAAACATACATAGCTAATACATCGACAGCATTCCAATACAGTACCGCTAAAAGTATACCAATAAAAACATGCCACTACCAAACTACTAGTTTTTAGTATTAAAAAAAGCTTAAACCCCTAACTTTCTAAAATAACAGTTATAAAACACTGCAGGGAGAAAACTGAAACTTAAGCAAAAGTACTTTCTAACAAAATAATTGATATGATGACCCAAATAAGTATACAAGTCTATTATGTTTTCTATTGTTACCCTGTTATTCAAGATAGCTTTCTCCCTTTTTTCAATACATGGTTTAGTTACACTAGCTCATTCTTAACTCTCATACTAAAAAATAAATTTTTTGTTTTGATGCCTTTGCTAATACATTCTTACATTTTGGTTATGTTTTGTTTTCAATATATCATGACATCAAGATCCTGTACTGTATGCTTTTAAAAAATATTCTGGGGTTACAAGGTCCTTTATAATTTTAAAACAATACAATTTTCATAGAAATATTAATCAAATAGTATAAAGAATAACATTACTAGTAAATGTTGTTTAAAAGAGGAAGGAAGACAAAAAGCTCCCTTTTTAAAAAATATAGAAGTACTTCCATCCACATCACTAAGACTCAGGATTTAGGTACTTTCAAATACTGAACCAATTGCTCCCTGTCTCTGACATATTTAATCATATCTATTCTTAAATATGTACATAATGAGATTCTACAAACCGATCATGAAATAACTCAAAGGAATAGTAGTTCTCAGATACAAAAGAGCTTTCTAGGGCGAATACAAAGCAGATGGGCTCTTATTTTACAGTATAATATTTCAGCAGTTTTCATTATGAAATAAGCTAAATAAAAGGTAAACAAATGAACTGAAATGTATCTGTTTATGCAATTAAATTTTTAAAAAGCTCTAAGTATTGCTACTGATATATGTTTCATTCCCGCTATCCATTATCATCAGTAAGTATTAAAGCAACAAGTTTATGAAAATTCACTGCAATGATAAAGACAATTTCACAGAATTTGTCTTTAATTTCATAATATGCAAATATATTTCCTTTGAAAAGCAACATTACTGAGAACTTAAACATAGAAATAAACTGCATTTTTTTCTTTCACACTTTGAAAGGTTTCAACTGTTAAAAGAAAAAGATTTATTTCAACAATTGAAAAATGTAATTCAGCTATAGGAAACTAGCTTGTATTCTTTGTCAAAAGGGCCATCAGTCAAATGATTAAGCAGCAAGGCAAGAGACTACAAAGGAGCAGCAAGGTAGAGACTACAAAGGACAGCTGATTAATGCACATCTCCAGTACAATGTGACACAAAGCAATGCAAAGCTGTCAATAAACCCAAGCAGTGAATTCTGTCAGTGTTCCCACTATCTGTCATACCTTTTTGCAATTATAAAATAGGTATTAACATGGCAGAATAATATCTCTGAATGCTAGAATACAATTTATCAAATGAAAATATAAAGTAAGAGCAGTTGTTAGAGTTCTCATTCATTATCATGATAGTGTGCCTCAAGAAACACAGGTAACTATAATTTCAAACAAACAAAATTTATTTTTAGAAATTGGCCACTGTAACGAAAAGAAATAGGTGGATCTTTAAAGACTACAAATACTGGTGAAGTAAATTAAGAATTTATATTACTCAAGTAACTTTCTCCTAGAGTAATAATAATAATAATAATAATAACACCTAAAGTTTCCATAATATACATAATACTTATGATTTGTCAGGCATTGTTTTAAGTACTTTACACAAATTATGCTAAACTTCAAATCTCCATTGTATAGATTTAAAAAATTGAGGTATACTGATATAAAGTAATTTGGCCAAAGTCACACTAGATAATTCAAATTCAAGCAGTCTGGTTCCAGAGTCTCAATTATGCAAAATTGCAATATTAATGAGAACAAATGAGCTGGTCTTCAAATAACATATATACAGGCAAAATAAATAAAATAATAACAGAATAATACTATATGCTATGTGATATAAAATGACAACACATAATAATTCGATATGTGCAATAAGTAAAACATAAAGAATAAAAAAGATTAAGGTAGTTTCACAGGGTTTATAATTAGGAAAGATTATACACAATATAAGCAAATGCCAAATGACAACAAAATATGACAAGAATTCAGGAGTCAATGATTCCTAGGGCCCTCTAGAACAAAAGGATGATGCATGAATAGTCTCAACCATCAACAATCCAAAGCACCTGCTATCTGCTAGATACTAACCTAGCTGTTGAAAAACCAAGGTGTTAAAAAAAACCAGAACAGCCGGGCTCGGTGGCTCAGCCCATAATTCCGCGCCTTTGGGAGGCTGAGGTGAGTGGA